CAGTGGATGGTAAAAATGTGGCTTCAGACTGGATAAACAGTCAATGTATGACAGCTTCTGGCAGACAACCACAACACTGACGCAGGCACAAAGGGGATATTAATGGAAACATTTGGGATAATGTAAGAACACAACTCAACTACATAGAGAACAGCTCTAATGTAGAAACGTTACGTAAGATAATATCCTGTAAATGTTCTGCTTTGTGGTTCACAGTCCAACATAGTTTGCCAAAAAAGAAACAAAACACACAATAAAACATGTTAAAAAGTTAGAAAAATTTGACTTTTTCCCAGATTTTCTACAGATATCACGAAATCATTATTATGAATTCTTCAGGTTGTAATAATCGTGTATTTAAAATCTGACATCATGTCCTAATAGCAGCTTTAACCTCTCCGAGCCTTTAAAAACCTCTTCAAACAGAACAATCTGTGAGACCAAACATTACTGTTTGGTTGAACTCACATCGCTTCATTTTAAGGGGTCACAAGCCCAAAAAGGTTGAAGTCCTTCATCCGGGAAAATGCCAAATACTCTCTGGTTCCAGCCTCTCAAATAGGATTATTTTCACATTAAAGTGAAGATCTGTGAGTTTTGGACTGAAGACATTTTACAGGTTAAACAATTAATCAACACATTAATCATTAATAAGAATTATGGTTAGTTGCTGTCCCAGTTCAGAGTTTGTAGCATCAGGGGACGTCCATCCTCCTCGTACTCACGCTCCTGCCTGTGTAAATCCAAATTAATATTTTACACAACATATCATCAGACATTTTTGCTCACATGCAGGAAAAAACAAGGGGTTTGGGTCGGTGGGGGGTTGGCTGGCTTCTAATATCCATACCACTGAGGCTTCGAGTGCACAAAATGCTTCATGCACACTGCGCTAAAGCTTTCTTTAGACCCAGTGACGTGCAAAGAGGCATTATTCAAAAGATGCTTTAATCCAAGGTGACAGTGCCCTCCCCTGAGTATGCCATCATGTGAAGTGTCAGTAGTGGCAACGAGGGGACCATGGCGAACTGGGTAATGTGGTTAGGATACTGTTTCGACTTATTAGCCTTTTCCTCCTTGTGGAACACAGTGTACCTAGACGCACACACACCTGTCTGTACGAGGCTGCTGAGAAATATAATGTTAATCAACCTGACAGGTGTCACGCATGCTTTAGTAGCCATTTGTTTTGGTCTTGACGTGGGTTTTCTGACAGGCCACATTTGTTGTGTAAGAGGGTCTTTCTAATCCCTTTTTCCCTGCAGCCTGTAGTCCTCCTCCCTTCCTCCTCCTCGTCTAATCTGAAACACAATTTATCTTCAATCTAGACATGTGACACATCACCAGCGCTGGAAACTCTATACTATGCTTTCCAGCATCAAACGCTGCCTGTGTGTCTGTGTTAGTGTGTGTGTGTGCTGAGGGTCATTCCAGATGCATGGACGATGACAAAGCATGCATTCACTTCATGTTGGGGCGTCACCACATTTATGTAATGAACATGCACTGTACCACACACCCTGCGAAGGTCCATAAACACGCGCTGTTCTCTCCACACGAGCGCGTTCACTGATGGAAATGTGCAACCTGTACACCCACCGAGCGTGTGAGTGACGAGCTGCTGCTCTGTCTTACATGGTAATAAATTGAATATCTTGAACTGAAGCATTCTCCGGGAACATTTGCTTTTTTTGTGTGTGTGCTATTGTCTGACATTTCAAAGACGGATCGAGTAGAGAAGAAAATCAGCATGTGAACTGACAATAAAAATCATAACTAAACATTTTAAAACTTGATTCTTTACCTTGAAAACTGCAGTTAACAAAGTGCTTCAACTCGAGAGCCACTTAACCAGCTCGTTCAGCACGTACGTCAACAGTTTTACAGCAATACCACCTTAAAAGGACAACATACATGAGCATAAACCTTATGTGAGATACAAGAGACAGCAGGAAGTGTCTGGTTGTACACCTGCATCATTATGATTACACAGTACGAGTCAGCAAGTACGAAACAGCTGACACCAATCAGCTAATGGACACAAACACTGAGCTCCATATCTGCAGCTTTTGACCGGCTCACACAGTCTTCATAAGCAGATTGAATCTGCTCAGTTGGCTTTTAGACTGAGGTTGAAAGGTAGATGCATTTCCACACATATACTGTTCATATAGCAGTTATTTAATTACTTTGTACGACTTAAAACTATCTTTTTTTTATCTGTCTCTCTCTGATGGAACCTGATAAGTCCATATTGGACAATTCTTCAAAACCCTTAAATTATGTTGAAAACCAGTGTTTTTTTTTACACCCAGATCCAATCAAATGATAGATTATTAAGTACAGTTAAGGTTAAAGCTTATTGTCATTATTTGGCGTCAGACAACCAAAAATCGTGTGAACAGTTGATAAAAAGGTGAATGTTAACTGCAGGTCACACAGTCTGGTTATCACCGTCCGTCCACCCCGACCTCCTCGCCTTTAACTGCCACCTCGCTACATATTCACATAATGGCCGCACTCTTCCTGCACTGGCAATAAACGTTAGCGTTGGACGTAAATCATGAACTCCCTCGGATACTGGGCTGAACTTTGATGTATGTCATTAAATTATCTTTTTATCTGCATCGCTGTGATTAAACACACTCCAATTAGACTATCCTTTCAGTTTTATGTGGCGGGGAAAAGTCATAACAACAAAAAGGTTATCATGGCGCCTACGAGGTGTTGTTGGAGAGGAAATTTGACCTTGGTAAACAGAAATGGCATATAGCTATTGAGAAACAGAACCGGGTCATTCTGCTGGTGAAGAGATGTGCTCATATGGTCCAAAAGCTCCAGAACAAGTGAGGAAGGTGGACCTTGAGTTGCAATTGTTTTGTCAAAGGTCAAGAATTCGCTTTCATGCTCAACCTTTAAGCCAGAAGTCCTAGAGATACTCAGATTAATGAAGCTTGAACATCTACATTTCCACGTGCTACAGAGGAAACTCAATCTGCTGATGAAGACGGAGTGATACGGTTGAAAGCCCCAGAACAAGCGAGCAACGAGCAACTTCTGTTTCCAAAGACAAGAACATTTAAGATAAAGTCTATCAGTTCTCAGACTGAAAGTTTGAATGCCTACATTTCTGTGAAAACTCAATTTGCTGATGAAGACTGTTTGATACAGTTTAAAGCTCCAGAATAAGTACGTAAGTGGGCCTTGAGTTGCAATTGTTAAGTCAGGGTCAGCCCGAGGATTTTAGTGGCCCTAAAGTAACTACAAGGTCTATACGTAAAGACGATTACAAATGAACTCAAACAAATAAATAGTGATGAACAGTCAATATAAGGACGCAAAATATTCAAAATAAAGTAAGTGAGCTCTACAAAAGTATTAACTATTGTATAAGACAACAGCTATAGACTTCTGAAGCAACTATATCCTTGCACCACCATCCAAGATCAGTGAGAAAGTCCTCAAAATACAGTAGAAAGTACAGTGGCCAGTTTTATAAGATCACAGGTTTGTCTTTATCAGCTTTGAGAAGCAGGGTACAGGCAATCCTCTCGGTTATCCAAAGATCTGGAAACCATTAAATGTTTCCTCTCCACTCCTCACATTGTTCCTGCAGAGCTTCGTCATCCAAGTTTGGGAGGTTTTGCAATATCCCCAAAAACTTGCTCTAAAGTCATCCAAGTGTTTCAAATCCAAAGATGCAACAGCAAAGTCGACATTGGAAACTGCTCTCATCAGGTTCATCTAGTGCTTCATAGCCAAGGTGAGTCTTTGTGCTTCTCTTCGGTCTACACATGCATCTTTTACAGAAGCTTGTGCAGCAGCAAAGCTACCGTTTCTGCAGCTAACAGATGGCTTTTAGTACTCTGCAGGAGGTTAACTGCCACATCCAATTTCATTGTGGAAGACTGCAGAGGCTGGCTGACTGTATTGATCTCAGAGAAGATCAACAGAATCAAACACAACTGTGCAATCTGGAGTCTGAATGACCCAACTTCCTCTGCTAAAGATCGGGTCTTGATTTTTGTGATGGCATCTGTTGTTGTTTCCTGACGTCTAACAATGCATCCCTTAGGCCAGATGCCTGGTTGCACAAAGGGATCGTGCTGTTGACAGGGCTCTCCCACGTCGCCTCACTCCAGGACCTCCCAGTAATGGTGACATACTGATTCAACATGGCTCCTCTCTAGGGAGCAGCTGAGAATAGAGAGTACATCCGCCTCTATAGAGCTTATAGGCAGCCTCCTCCATAAGATTCAATGTATGAGCCCACAGCTCAAACAGGGAACGAGAGGACTGTTCAAGCTCAACAAGCCTGGTTGAAGTAAGATCAGACAAACCAAGAACCTGTCAGGTGCAACCAGGATGCCCAAAAACATCCTCCTTGATCTCAGGTGTTTCTTCCAGCTTGTTCTAATCACAGCAGGTGGTTGACATAATATCTGGACAGTCTAATTTCAGACACCATTCTCATTCAAGAGAATTTATTCCACCTTTAACTCATTACTTGGATCAAGTTGCCGTTATTCTGACTGTACAAAGACCCCCGGTGGTTTTCTGCTAATGACTAAATAATGGTGACCAGACGATTGAGAACCTCCCTCCAACATTTCATGATACAAAGTTTTCTAACTAGGTTCGGGAACAAAGACCACGCCTTGAACTCATCTCATTTCTGCACAAAAAGTACTTAAGCACACCTTGTTTTCCCCCTTTTCTCTCTTGCTCTTGTTTAAGTACAGGAACCACTGAGACTTTAACCTCTTAGAGAAAAGAAGAGACGACTCCCAAGTGGTTCCGTCCCATCTTCTCGCCACCAGTCGACACAGTCCATCTCCAAACTCTGTCCATCCGTCCC